TAGGCAGTTAGAGCACCTAGAGCTTCGGAGAGCTTCTGTTCAACCATCTCAAAGCTCCCTGCTTGAGCGGTAATGGCACGATCATCAGCATAGATGAAACTCTCTGTCCCTTCTGGCAGTGGCTGGTCATTTGTGTAGATGTTGAACATGGATGGAGCAAGCACGCTCCCCTGAGGCAGGCCGTTCTTCTGTTTCCGCCATCTGCTTCTCTGGCCCTGGTACTCAACAAAAAAGCTCCTGTTTTGTAGCAGGTTTCCTATGAGGCGGGTGAGGTGGTAGTCCTTTGTGATATTATACATTTTTCTCAGGAGGAGGCGGTGGTTCACAGTATCATAGGCTGCTGACAGGTCTATGAAGACAGCTCCTGTGATCTGCTGCCTTTCAAAGCCATCTTCTATGTGCTGAGTCAGGTTCAGCACTTGCGATGTGCAGCTTTTGCCTTTCCTGAAGCCAGCTTGCTGTGGAATCAGACATGGGTCTATTTTTTCCATAATTCTATGCAGAATAAGTCTCTCCAGAACTTTGTAGAGGTGGCACAGCAGGGAGATTGGTCTGTAGCTTTTTGGATCATTACGGTCTTTGCCTGGCTTCAAGATGGCAATGACTCTTGCTTTCCTCCAGATTTTGGGGATCTAGATGCTTAATTAATTTTGTTAAAAACAAGGATAGTCCTATATTTTGGTCAAACAGCTTTGTAGGTTCTTGAAACAACGCAAAGGGACCTGCTGAATGTGTTTAGGAGAGACAACTGTGAGGCTGAGTCACATTTCGTGAGCAACAGTTCCTTTGTAACTATTGTTGTCTGGCTCCAGCATCATTGTCTGCAATGTCATTCTGACTCACAGTGGCCAACAGACAAGGGTTGGCTTTCCCCTGCAACTCTCTGAAAGCTGATCCATATAAAATGATTTAGAAAAGCTGTGAACACACTGTAAAAACAATTGTTTGCCCATTTAAAAAAGAGGTAACACTCTGTCACTGGAATGAAATGAAACTTTATTTGTAGCCTGCCCTATCTCCCCAAAGGGACTCGGGGCAGCTCACAACAAAATATACAATGGCAAACATTCAATGTCAACAGTAATATGTAAACAAATGGTTAGCTTCCATCGTGAGTTGAACATAAGAGTCCTGTTAGAAGACCTAGAAATTCTAGAGCAGTGTTCTCTGAGATTAAAAACAAACAAACAAAAATCCAGTAATGTCCAACCCCCCGCCCCCCCCAAAAAATACAGCAATTTATATTTTTTTTCACTTTCATGGAGTCCTGTGTTCCAATTCCCTTCAGAGTATTCATTTTATATATGTCACTTTTGTGTCAAAAATAAACCACAGAATTTGTTGTCAACGGCTTTCATGGTGGGAATCACTGGGTTGCTGTGAGTTTTCTGGGCTGTGTGGCCATGTTCCAGAAGCATCCTCTCCTGACATTTTGCCCACATTAATGGTAGGCATCCTCAGAGGTTTTGAGGTCTGTTGGAAACTAGGCAAGTGAGGTTTATATACCTGTGGAATGTGCAGGGTGCAGGGTGGGAGAAAGAACTCTTGTCTGTTTGAGACAAGTGTGAATATTGCAATTGGCCACCTCACAACCTCTGAAGATGCCTGCCATAGACACAGGCAAAATGTCAGGAGAAGATACTACTAGAACATGGCCATATAGCCTGAAAAACCTACAAGAACCCTACAAGAACCCAGTGATTCCTACCATGAAAGCCTTCGACAATACAATTGGCTGCCTTGATTAGCATTTAATAGTTTTGCAGCTTCAAAGCCTGGCTGCTTCCTGTCTGGGGGGAAACCTTTGTTGGGTGGTGTTAGCTCGCCCTGATTTTTTCATGTCTGGAATTCCCCTGTTTTCTGAATGTTGTTCTTCATTTACTGTCCTGCTTTTAGAGGTTTTTTAAAATGCTGGTAGCCAGATTTTGTTCATTTTCATGGTTTTCTCCTTTCTGTTGAAATTGTCTACATGCCTGTGGATTTCAATGGCTTCTCTGTGCATATAGTCTGACATGTTGGTTGTGAGAGTGGTCCAGCATTTCTGTGTTCTCAAATAATATGCTGCGTCCAGGTTGGTTCATCAGTTGCTCTGCTATGGCTGACTTCTCTGGTTGGATTAGTCTGCAGTGCCTTTCATGTTTCTTGATTCGTGTTCACGGTGGTCCCTATGTAGACTTGTCCACAGCTGCATGGTATATGGTAGACTCCTGCAGAGATGAGAGGCTCCCTCTTGTCCTTTGCTGAACGTAGCATTTGTTGGATTTTCTTAGTGGGTCTGTAAATTGCTTGTAGGTTGTGTTTCTTCATCAGCTTCCCTATGCGGTCAGTGGTTCTTTTGATGTATGGCAAGAACACTGTTCCTCCGGGTGGATCTTTGTCTTGACTCTCGTGGCTTGGTCTTGGTCTTGCAGCTCTTTTGGAACATGGCTACGTAGACCAGAAAACTCACAGCAACCCAAACTACGAAATCCTAATGTACAATACAGTAAACCACTTTCAA